ATAATGCCATTTTTCTTCCCCCAGAATGTTCACAGACCACTGACTTCTGCCCACAGATCTCAGGCAGAAGGTTAAGACCCCTGGTCTAGTCAGAGAGAACAACTTGGGAATAGGTTCCAGGTGTGTTCCAGGTGAGCTGGCGGGAAGTGGGAGTGCAGTGGTTGGGAGCTGACCCTGGAGTGAGGGGTCGGGAGTTTGAACCCTGACTCTGCCCTTTAACTTTTCTGTTTTCTTGTCTGTAAAATGAGGGTGACAGTAACAGTATCTATCACATCAGGTTGTTTCCAGAATTAAATAAGTCAATTCACATAAAGTGCTTAGAATGGGCCATAAGTAGCACTTAATAAATGTGGGCTTTTATAACCTCTTCTTCCAGTCACTCCGCAGTGCATAACAATTTTCTGTGTTTGCTTAGTTGTAGCCTTCATGTAGATATACATATAATTTTATATCCTGCTTCTTGCTCGTAATATTATTACATAAATATTTTTAAGATTATTATAAACTGTTCATAAGCATTTTAAATGCCTAAGTAATATTCCACTTGGGTATATGACCCACACTTTAGATAACTGTTGCCTTATGATTGGACATTTAGCTTATTTCCAATTTTCTATGAAAAGAGCTGAGTGGGCTTCAGTGTGGTTCAACAGCTATTGAGCACGTTAACTCTGAGTCCAGCCCTGTGCTAGGCATGGAGGACACAGAGATAAATAAGACAAGCTTTCTGCCCTGCAGGAGCACACAGACCTACGTTTAGGATTATAATTGGCCTTGCTTTGGAGAACAGATTGGAAAATGAAGAATCCTGGAGACGGAGAAAGCCCTTAGGAGGCAGGTAGCAAAAGGGGCTGATGGATCTGTGACAGTGGGAGTGGGAAGGAAAGGATAGTGGGGGGTGAGCAGGTCAAATGGTCAGAACCTGGCCCCTGATTGGTATAGCGAGTGAGTAGATGCAGTAAGGAGAGGTAAGGAAGAGTCAAGGGCGACCATTGTTTGAACTTCAGGAGCTCAGGGGGGTAAAGTGAAGTGGTTAAGAGCTTGGGCTTTGATGCCAGATGGATCTCCAAATTCAAGCCCAGCTCTACCATATATGACCTGTGTGACCTTGAACAAGGCACTTAAATTTTCTAAGCCTCAGTTTCACCATCTGTAAAGTGGGGATAATAATGAGTCTTCCTGACAGTGTGAAGATCAAATCAGATTATGTATGAAAAGTATATAACAGACATGCTGTATTGGGAATAATAATAATGAGTCCTGTAGCACATCAGTACCACTCTAAGTGCCTTGTATGTATTAACTCACTTTAATTCTCACGACATCCCTGCGGTAGAGGTGCTGTTAGCATCCCAGTTCTATAGATGAGAAAGCAGTCTCAGAGAGTTTGGGTAACTTGCTCAAGGTCTCACAGCTAGTAAGTGACCCAGTCAAGACTCACACTCAGATAGACTTGCATCAGAGTTCGTGCTCTTAAGGACTGTGCTTTCTGCCTTTCTGCCTCTCTCTCTGGAAGAGACACCAGAAGGAAGTCCCTGTGACAATGCCCAGCAGGTAGGTGGAACGTGTTTTGTAACCCAGGACATGGGTCAGGGTGTAGGATCACCTGGGCAGAGATGAGATGTGGAGTCCACAGGCAAGGCCGAGATTACCCAGGGAGAGTGAGGCATGGACAAAATCTGAATTTAGTGGAGAGGAGAAGGAAGAGGAGTTGGCTAAGGAAGTGAGAAAGACCAATCAGAGAAGCGGCTGAGAATCAGGATCGGATAGTGTCATGAAATTCAAAAGAACAATGCAATCAGCGGCATCAAATGCTACAAAAAGAGAGATAAGAACTGCTAAGAGACATTGGTGACCTTGGGGAAGCAGGTGCAGCCGAACAAGATGGGGTGTGGTCTGGGGTTGAAAAGAGATGGGCGAAGTGGCTGCAAGGAGTAGGGCAGACAGAACAGGTAATGGGACGAACACTGGGTGGGGTCCGCAGACTTGAATTCCAACGCTGGCTCAGACCTTTATTAGGTGTGTGACTTTACGGGGAGTCACTTAACATCCCTAGGATGCTGTTGCCTTATAGGTAAAATCAGGAACTAAGCTCCACCCCTGAGGCTGCTGTAGGAATAGGAATTTGATGGCCAATGAATTTAGAGCCCCTAGCAGCCCCTAGCTACTTCTGTTCAAGCCACGGAAGTAGCTTGAACTTTGAAGAGTGTTCTTCAAAGGTAAAGCCTGTCCACAGTTACTCTGTTGCTGGGGATGGTTCTGACACTTGGTACTACTGAGTCCCCCTCAGGCACCCACTGCTGGCAACCTGTCAGTCAGCTGAGATCCACGATGTTAAAGGACCCCCGCCTGAGCCTCAGGCTGAAAGAAGACCCCACAGGTCTATCGTTTGTGTGATAAATTACAGATCTGTCATTTGTGTGATAAATTACAGCACCGGGATTTGAACCCTGGTGCTCTACCCCACCGCCTGTGCCCCATTAGAGCCATAACTTGGCTGTATGGGCCAGTGGTTAGGACTCTGCTTTAGGAGAAAGAGCACCAGGTTGCAGATGTGGCTTTGCAGCTGGCTCAGTAAGGATGCTTGGACTGATTCCTTAACCTCACTGTACTGACCTGACACTTGATGTGAGTAGGAGGAAAATGTGTCCAGAGATGAGCTTTGAGGTTTGCAGAGAAGGACGTCTCGTAGCGAGACTGGGAACCACAGAGTATAATCCGAGGGGCAGCTCTGTGGTTCTGATATCACCATGTGTGTGCTGAGAATTGTCCTACGTTCTCTCTCTGTCTGTTTTCTCCTTTTCTTCCCCCCTTCCTTTCTCAGTCTGTAACATTTTTAAAAAGTAATTTTTATTGGAGTATAGTTGCTTTACAATGTTGTGTTAGTTTCTGCTGTGCAGCAAAGTGAATCATCTATATGTATAGATATATCCACTCTTCTTTAGATTTCCTTCCAATTGAGGTCACCACAGAGCACTGAGCAGAGTTCCCTGTGCTATACAGTAGGTCCGCATTAGTTATCTATTTTATACATAGTATCAATAGTGTATATGTGTCAATCCCAATCTCCCAATTCATCCCACCCCCTCCTTTCCTCCTTGGTAACCGTAAGTTTGTTTTCTACCTCTGTGACTCTATTTCTGCTTTGCAAATAAGTTCATCTGTAGCATTTTTCTAGATTCCACTTATAAGCGATATTATACGATATTTGTCTTTCTCTCTCTGGCTTACTTCACTCTGTATGACAATCTCTAGGTCCACCCGTGTTGCTGCAAATGGCATTATTTCGTTCCTTTTTATGGCTGAGTAATATTCCATTGTAGCTATGTACCACATCTTCTTTATCCATTCTTCTGTCGACGGACATTTAGGTTGCTACCATGTCCTGGCTATTGTAAAATCAAAACTACAATGAGGTATCACCTCACACCGGTCAGAATGGCCATTATCAAAAAATCTACAAACAGGGCTTCCCTGGTGGCTCAGTGGTTGAGAGTCCGCCCGCCAACGCAGGGGACATGGGTTCGTGTCCCGGTCCGGGAAGATCCCACATACAGCGGAGCGGCTGGGCCCGTGAGCCATGGCCACTGAGCCTGCGCGTCCGGAGCCTGTGCTCCGCAGCGGGAGAGTCCACAACAGTGAGAGGCCCGCGTACCGCAAAAAAAAAAAAAATCTACAAACAATAAATGCTGTAGAGGGTGTGGAGAAAACGGAACCCTCCTATACTGTTGGTGGGAATGTAAATTTGTACAGCCACTGTGCAGAGCAGTATGGAGGTTCCTTAAAAATCTAAAAATAGAACTACCATACGACCCAGCAGTCCCACTCCTGGGCCTATATCTGGAGAAAACCATCATTCGAAAGGATGTAGCATTTTAAAATCTTACATTCTCTCCTCTTCTGACTGCGTGTCCTACCCATCCACTCATTCATTGGACAAACATGAACTGGGCGCTTAGAAAACATTGTGCTGGACACCAGGGAAATGCGAAGTGGGAATTTAGAGATAAATACGTCTCAGCTCTGGCCTTTAAGAGGTTTGAAATCTAGTGAGAGGAGAAACACATCTAAACAACAAACTGAAACAGACACATTTACAAGTGTCTTAGAGCAGAGGGAAAATCCATGGGCCTCGGAGCCCCAGGGAGGATGGATTCTACTTAAAGGAGTTGCGGGAGGGGTAAGGAGAAGGTGGCATTTGAGGTGCTTCTTGACAGGTGAGTGAGCATCCGGGGTAGAGGAGGGAAGGGCGCCTTCCCCAGGGGGAGGTACAAGGTCACAGAGCATGCTGGTTGGTCAGGAAGGCACGTGATGGGCTCAGGGAAGCAGGAGCGCCAGGCTCCAGGCCAGGTGAAAGGAGGGTGGCATTGAAAGATGAGGGCCCTCTCGGCCACTCACTCTCTCTCTTCCTTCTCCTCTCTCTCTCCTGTTCCCTTTGACTTTAGCTGGGCTGCTTTCTTCTCTCTGCCTGCCTCATCCTCACTATCCTTTTTCTCTCTACTTGTCTACCATTTTTCCTCTCTAGACTCTCTTTGGCGGGGTGGCTAACAGATTGCATGCTGGCTGGCCATCCTGTGAGCTGGACCCGTAGCCCCTGCAGCAGCCATGTCCGGGCTCCCAGCACCCATCCTGCAGGCTAGGCAGAAAGGGGGTGGGACGTGCAGGTTTCCGTTGTGCGCCTCCATCCTTCGGTGACAGCCCAGACAATTTATACACCCTGTTGGCTGAGGCCGTATGTTGTCATAACCTGGGTCATTTCCTCATTTAATACCATCCATAAACTCCAATAAAACTGTCCTGGAGCCCAGTAGTCCAGGGGAGGAGAGGCACTGGGTTTGGAAGAATAGGAGGGGGGACCAGGACAGGGACGGGGGTGGGCGGGAGGTGAGGGGCCAGCGGGGGGAAGATCGGAGGACTCGAGGCCGAAGCCCACGCCCCACCTGATGAGCGCCTTGTTTCCTTTCCTGCTCCCCACGTTTTGCCCCTGCCGCTGGCTGCAGTGTGTCAGATCCTTCCCAAGGGGGTGGTCGCTGTCCTGGGACCGTCCTCCAGCCCGGCCTCCAGCTCCATCATCAGCAACATCTGTGGGGAGAAGGAGGTGAGTGCTGGGCAGGGTTGGGGGGCTCTCTGCAGGCTGGCAGCCTGTGCCCCAGGCCCAAAGGTATCGTGGATTCTTAAGGGCTGGAAGAGTGAATCAAGGTCTGGTTGGTGTCACTAATAACATCAATACAAATAAAAGAACTGGGCCTTCGTTGGGCACTTACTTTTTTCAGGTTGCTTGAATGGAGGGGACTCAGAGGAAGAGTTTCATAAGCTTTTCAAGCTGAGCCCCTCCGAGTCTTGGGGTCCTGTGACAGGGGAAGTGGGTGTCCCTTGAAGGCGGCAGGTAGAGGGAGAGGCTGGGGAGGGTGGTGGTCCAGGGGAGGCCAAGAGGGCAGAAGTCTGAGCTCCACAGGAACAGCTGCGGAGTCTCTGTTTAGATATTGGGATTCTGGGGAAGAATGCCTTTGGGGCCAGGCCTTGCTACATTTTAGTGCTGAAATAAAGTTTGAAAACCTCTTGTTTTGTAAGCTCTCTAGAAAAGAGATTTTATTTCGCTTTCTTCTTCATTCACCAATTCCAGGGTTTACTTCTCCAAACTGTTGGGTCCATTCCCTCTAGCCCTGGTTCCCTGGGAGATAAAGATGGCCTGCTCCCTATTCCAGCAACTCTATCCCTCCTTTTCCCCCAGAGGAAACAAATTGGAAACTTCAGAGATTCTATTGCCGGAATCTTTCCTAGTCCTTCTTGGAATCAATCAGTCCTTCCCCTTTCAGATACATTCCTGGGAGACAGTGGCAAGGTGACCCCATAGCCTCCCAAGGGCCTTCTACCCAGGTCTTTTGGGAACAGATGGAGCTTGATGGCCAGGAGCTGTGGAGGGGCAGGGCGGAGAGACAGGAGACGGAAGGGCAAATTTTGCACCTGTCCTGGGAGCCTAGAGGCTCAGCCTTCCAGAAGCGTTAGCTTTGGGAGGATCCAGCTCTTGCAATAGGATGGGGCACCTCCTTAGTGAGCTGCCCTCACCGAGGCAGTGGAGCAATAGACAGGCCCCTGCTTAGCCCAGGCCCTCTGGAAGCCACTCCCTTGATGCTCCCACTTCTCTTATGATCAGAGGGCTTGGTCCCCGCGGCTTTGGGAAGAATACTGGTCTTCTCTGTTTTAGGAACGCACTCTAGGGATTGTTATCAGCACGGTAGAGTGCCCTGCGGTCCTAGCTCCAGTCCTGCAATGGGTCTTACTTACCACTGCCCTGTAGGCGGAATCCTTGAGCTTCAGGCCATGGGCAGGGTCTGTGTTGACAACTCCCCATCCTTCCTCCCACATGTCCTGAAAGATGACTCCCGAGCCAGCCCAGGCCAAAAAAAAAGAGCTTCTGTCCCACTGCAGTCCCTTCCAGCATCTCCCAGGCCTGGGCCCCTGCAAGTTAGACCTGATGCTTAATTTAAGTCTTTCTTGCCAGGCTCCACGTAACAGCTCAGATCTGTGGCAGGTTGTTATTTCCCGGTTGCTCTGATCTTCACCAAGTGAGCTTGCCAAGACTTCGGCTGCCCGTTTCCTCTTTTCTGCTCTCTCCTTTTTGTTCCCCCTCTCCCTCTTCCCCAGCACACTTTCCTCACCGTCCCCTACCGTCGTCCCCCCGGTCCCCACTCCAGAACGGCCTCCTCTTGGTGTTCAGCAGCTATTTTATCTCAGCGAACGCATCCCTTAGCCCTGCCTGGCATTTCAGGCCGGAGGTGGAGACCCTGATTTGCACCCATCTTCCCATCCCGCCGCCCCGGACCCTGTGCCGTTGACCAGCCAGGCGGGCTGTGCTGCCCAGGGAATGGCCAGATGGTTACCCCTCCTTTGTCTGGTCATGTTCCTTCCAGAGCAACCTTCCCTCTCCGTTCAGATTTTGCACTTCTTCTACTATTTTATGAGGCTGAACTGCCTCACACTGATTCCCTTCAGCTTCAAGGAAAAGAAATGGAGTTCTCACTGAGGAGTTCATTCTTTTAAATGCTGCTAAGATGTCTGCAGCCCCTGTGGCTGGCTGCTTTCTGCCTTGCTGCCCTCCCCTCCATGCCGCTCACCTCTCCATCCCCCCACCCCTCCATGATGACTTCCGGGGATACATTTACACCTGCAGATCCGTTTTGGATTGATCTCTGTCCCAGAGAGAGACTCAGCAGGATTGGCCTGGCCATCCCTTCCGTGGCCCATCAGAGCAGCTGGCTGCCTCCCAGCAGCCTTCAAGATGCCAGGCTGTGCTGGAGACTTCGCACCAGCTCCCCTTCTTAGGGAGGCCCCTCAGCCCTCACCCCTTGCACATACAGACCTAAGAGCTTTTCCAGGAGCTTCAAGATTTGGGGAGAAAGGGGGAAGGGAATGAGAAAAGGCATTGCCTAAACACTTACCCCACATGTTAGGAACTGAACTAGCACATCCTTCACATACAGGGTCTCGTTTTGTTCTCCCAAAGCTCAAGAAGCACCTGTTGTTTCTCCATGTTAATGAAGCTTAGCCAGGTTAAGCAGTTTGCCCCAAATCACACAGCAGAACCGAGATGCAAACCCAGGACTGTAGACTCTAAAATGCATTTTCCTGAGTCTTCGCTTCCTGAGCCTTTTGCCTGCTTCATCTCTGGGACTGGTGGATCCAAGGGAATCTCTAAGGGTACTTTCTATGGGGGGGTAAGTTAGCTGCTGCTGGAACCCGGTAGGCTGGATGGCCACACGGGGAGGGTCTTGGGCAGAGATGCTCAGATATGTAAGCCAGCCAGCCTGGCCACCCTGCCCCTGCCCAGCCTGGCCTCCATCTTACCCTTCTGTGACCTTTTTTCCTTTCAAAGTGCATTTGTTATTCATTTTAGACAGATTGTAAGCGTTGCAAACTATCCGTGGGAAGAAAGACCCCTTAGGACACACCCCAGGTCAACGTCGCTCTTTAATGTCGTTACTCACCAGTCTCTCTCCCCAGTTTTATGCTTTTCAGTCTCTGCTAAAAAATATTGGTTGCCCTCTCTCTGTGGTTCAAGGGCTAATCCTAGTTGAATTCAGGAATTTTCTCCCGAGTTTCTGCTAAATCTTTACCCTCCCCTCATCCCAGTCTCAGGGGAGCTCTGGTCTCTGGCTGACTTCTTCCCGAAGCTTAAAAGGATAAGGTAGCAGAATCCTACAGAGACCGTGTCAATGTCATCCCAGACTCTGGGCCAGCCCAGGCAGGGAAAACTTCTGCAATCATGTCTGAATAACCCATGCTAGGAACCAACCAACTCACCATCAGGAAGTTCTTCTTGCTGTCCACCCTCAATCTTACTCACTTTCACATCAGTCCAAACCCATGCTCACAATAATCTGGCCCTCACACTGGGCACCCTAAGTGAGGATGAGGGTTGAGGTTTCAGCCCCATCTCTGATAGAGGCACAAGCAGCCTTTAGCTCTTCTGGCTCTGGGTACCAGGGTGACATAATAAAATCAAGGTGGATGGCAGCTTATTACGTTTTAACTTTCCTATTACCTATCCAGTAGCCTAAGCTTCCGGTAAAGCAGCCATTCCAGCCTGTTAATATCTCTTTCCTGGAGAAGAGAGGCAGAAGGCAAGGGGCAGTGCCTCCCTGAAATGTCAGGAATAGGTGCAGAGGGAAGCTGACACTGTCCTAATGAAGCCACAGCAGGTAGTTATTTACCGGGCTCCATCCGGAGGCCCTCTAGATGGTTTCCCAGCCTGCAGCGCTTCCCCCTCCTCACGTAAGTCTACGGAGGAACCCATCCCAGGCCTTTACCCAGGATGGGAGCTGGTTTATTTATCTGTTGGCTAGGCTGGGCTGAGGGGGCCCCTCCCTTAGTCCCCAGGGCACCTCTGCTCTGATTCATTAACCACACATCAAATAGTATAAGGATTATGCCTTCAAGAGCCATCTGTCTGTCTGCCCAGCAGTGGTCAGTTCTTCTGAGAATAAAGACCTATTGTTTTGTCTTCTCAGGGCCACAGACCCCAGCTGCAAGGTCCACAGTACATTTATCCAGGTCCCCGGCTGAAGGGTTTCCCATTCTGGGTCTCAAGCGTTGTCATGGATGCCACATCACCTTCCTCCTGTGGAGTGGGTGCCCCGAGTCTTGCAAATTCCATCTCTTGCCAGGCAAAGGTCTTTTACAAAAGAAGCCACCCTCTGCAGCTTTGTTTCACTCATCCCTCTTTTCTTTTTGTCTCGCTGGTTCCGGATCTTCCCTGCTGCCCACTTTTGCTCCTCCGCCCAGGTCCCTCATTTCAAAGTGGCCCCGGAGGAGTTTATCAAGTTCCAGTTCCAGAGATTCACAACCCTGAACCTCCACCCCAGCAGCACTGACATCAGCGTGGCTGTAGCTGGGATCCTGAACTTCTTCAATTGCACCACCGCCTGCCTCATCTGTGCCAAAGCAGAATGTAAGTTTCCCCAGGCTGGCTCCACCCGAGATGGTCAGATCTTGTTGATTTCAACCTGATTGAATTGCCCCCCGGCTGCAGATGGTACGCCAAGAAGGGGCTGGCTCTTTCCAATCGTGGGAACGACGACCAAAGGGTTCGGGGATTCCTAAGTGTCCTTGGCTGTTTGTCCGTGTGTGTAGGTGAAAGAGAGAGCAGTCCAGGAACACCCTTTGCCAGAGCTCCCTGTGCATGCGCGGAACAGAGAGGAGCTCAGTTACAGGGAGACTGGCCAACCACCAAGCCTTTTGGCATCTGCAAACGCAATTCCCACGTTTTCAGCCTCATTGTTAAGGAGCTACAAAGAGAGAGAGAGGGAAAATATAAAATTAGATGCATTTGTACTTGATGGGCTGAAGAGCTTCTTTCCTCAGAGAGTAGATTTTTCTGATGGAACAAGGTCCAAGGTCAATTCCCGATAAATTTTGTTTGTTTTTGCAAATGCAGGTTTTAGAAATGCATTTTCTCTGAGTCTCAACTTGCGACATAAATTTAGTGTTTATGAGATTTAGCTAATTTAAGCCAGCACATTCCAGCAAATCTGTGCATCTGTGTGCTCCCGGTGACAGCTGTGCACCACACACAGTCAGACAGGTGCTGGCTACTGGCTACCACTGGGGCCCGGAGCCCGAGATGCAGGCGTCTGTGTCGTGTGGCTCACCTGTGCAAGTCTTCCCCTGCGGGTCTGGGTGGGCTGCACTGGAAGAGGTTCGCCATCTCCATAAGGCTCTTCTCTATGGCTCCTCAGGACTGCTCTGCAGTGTAAGTCCCTCCTCCATCCTGGAATCCCTACAGCATCTGAAAACAAAAGCCCCCTCCCTGCCAAGGGTCAGAACCATCTTCTTTACGGGACCTCTGCACCTTACTGACTCCACTTGTACCTGCATTCATTTATTCAACACAACGTGATTATTTGCTCTGTGCTACCCAAGAAACAAAGTAGCTGAGTCCCAACTATGTATGCTTTTTGGATACCTTATTTAATTATTACAACAACCCAGTGGGTTTGGAAATGTTGGAATTCCCCATCTTAAAGTTTAATACAATGTATAGTCCAGTTCCTCAGTCTCTCTAGCCACACGTCAACTGCTCAAGAGCCACGTGTGGACAGTACAGATATGGAACATTTCTGTCTTCACAGAAAGTGCTACTGGACAGCATTGTTTTAGATCATAAGGATTTTATGGACAAAGCATTTTGTGGCTAAAAAAAGAGAGAAATGTTTAGATAACATTTCGTTCTATCTCTCCCTCGTGGAGATTTTCAGCACACATTAGCATGGACACCCTGAGTTGTCCTGTGGCCAAAACAACTATTTACCTCAGCATATTCCAAATAGGTTTGATCATATGCCCCCAAAAGGATGCTGATCTAAAAGCTCACAGGATGCTAGCATTTGATGGAACAGAGCTGGGATATGTTGCATTCCACCAGGTGGCCCTCCGCGTGTAGCATCCTCGCAGCATTGAAAGGTATAACAGAATCAAGGATTCTCCCCCGGAAATTTCTGCCACATGCCCACTCAGGCAGGACTGAACTGGCACACCCCAGGCACCCAGCGAGGATGTTGAGAGACAGAGGACAGGCTGTAAATATGCCCAGGCAAAGATTGTCCTGCAGTCCTCATCTGTGCTGGCTACAGCGTCTCACCAACCTGACAGGAAGTTCTTTCTTGTGTCTAGCCACAGTCCCTCTTGCTTTGAAGCTGAGCCCTGTTTCCTCTGCTTCAGCTCTTACTGGGCTTTGGGAAGTAAGTTGTTCAGATGTTTGTTAAACACCTGCTGTGTGCCAAGTACCAGGCTAGATACTGTTGCCTCCTAGCCCAGGGCTATTTCCACTGGAATTGACATTCTCTGACATTCTAACAGTTCCTTGCAGATTGCAAAGCACTTTCACTTATGTTTTCCCACTCTACCTCCCTCTTTCCCAGTCATTCTGAGCTGAGCAAAGAGTCTTGGAGCTGCTAAGTGACTTGACTTAAGGTCACGAAGCTGGTACATGACAAAACCAAGACTCTTAACTCCGGTCCTCCGACTGTGAGCCAGGGCTTCCTCCTCCGAGACCCCTCCCACCCTCCTGGGCTGCACCAGCAGACTCAGAGGAGCAGCTCCGGGTGGGCTCTACCCAGCAGGCACAGTGTCCTTTGAAGGGCAGAGATCTCCCTGGAGCAGTGTGTCCCCTTGCTCCGTTGAGTGGGGTGCGGCATGGCTGAGCACAAAGTTCTGGAGAGGATGAGCCTGCCCAAGTGCTAGAGAGGCCGGCCCACATCCCAGGGGAAACGCATCAACCACACAGTGCTGCTCCGAGGACTCATCTATGGAGGCTGCTGAGTGACTCTGGCCCCACCTACCAGGGGGAGGGAAGGTGGGGCAGAGCAGGAGAAGTTCAAGGGCAAAGAGGATTCAAAATCTAATCAAAGGCTGAAGAAATGAGGGACTGAAGGGAAATGCAGCTCAGAGCTTGGGAGGAGACACTCTTCCATCTTCCTTATTAATGCAGGGCCAAGAGACGCTGCAAGTCGAATTAGGAACAGGAATATAATTCTATTTTCCTGCTGTCAAAATTAAGCATAACAGAGATCATTCCCCAGGGAATCATGCCATGTACTCTCCTTTTTCCCCAAAGTAGATCTTCAATAAGCAGGTTTTGGACCAAGTAGAGTTGTACTGTGGATTACATTATTTTTCTTTAATGGGGGGAAAAAATTAGAACATCTCTGCAAGTACCTAGTTCTAGTGCGGCTGGGGGAGGAGAAGTGAGGAATCCAGGCACGGCCATCTGGTCAACCCTGCGGAGCCTGGGGAGGGGGGTAGTTCGCTGCTAGGGGACTTCCTAGGAAAGTTAGGGTTCCCCACGACTATCCCCAAGGCCCCTTTGGTGAGCCCTGCCACAGAGTTACCTTTTGAGACACTCAGGCTGGACCCAGAGCCTTTCACTCTTCGTGGCCACAAGTGTAATATTCCATGTATTTTCCCGGTATCATTGTACATAGCTCAAATCAACTTTTTTTTCAGGCTTGCTTTGGTGTTTCTAAGTATTTTAATGTCCTTTTTTTGTGGCTACAAGTTCTGAGCCCCTACACCCTCTGCCGTTTATGTGCTACCTGTGTGATCTTGGCAAAGTGACTTAGGCACTTGCTAGCCTCTGTTGTCTCATCTATAAAATGGGGATGAGGCTTCCTCCCTCCCAGGGTGGTTGAGGGGATAAAATAGGATGACACACAGTGTATAACAGCATCCACACCTAGGGAACACACAGCACACATGGTTTTAACTCTCTTTCCTTCCTGGAATCCCTTTTGAACAAGGCCAGGCCAGGACCTGCAGTGGCGTGACCGGAGTTCCGCTCTATCCTTGTAACATCCCTGTGTTGGCTAAACTCGGTCCAGATGTTGGAGAGGAGAGACTCTTGTCTCCTGGGGAGGAAGTGCGGCTGAAAAGAAACGCAGGCTGTTTCAGTAAAATGGGAACCGTCTTTGCAAGCAAACCAAGCTGCTCCACTACTCATGAGCTGTGTGATGTGAAGCAGGTCACTCTACCTCTCTGAGCTTTAGTTCCCTCCCGTGTAAAGTGGGGATAATAATGCCTCTCAGGGTGATTGGGTGGAAGGTATCTGGACCCAGAATGTAATACACGTTTAATTACTGTTACTTTATCCTGCAACCCTGGTTGTGGCAGTAGCGAGTGGAGGACTGGTGTGCCGGGAATGATACCCAGAGTCCCGTGTGAGTAGCTGGGGGACAAGAGGGGCAGTAGTTGGCCTTTCTAGTGCCCCCCCCCAGGAGGCACTGTGAGAGAGCTTTTGCCTACGGTGATACAAATTAACCACTTACCATATGACAAACAGTCTGCTGAGGGCTTGAAATTATCTCATTTAAACCTCACATTAACCACATAAGATGGGCTCTATAGACATTTTTATTATATGCGTGAAGAAAAGAGAGATTAAGTCCATTTTCAAGGTCACATGGTTCTTGTTACCTCTCTCCCTGCATCTCCGAACACTGTGGAAGAGACAGAAGTGAGGGACCATTTTTCCTATTTTATGGGAGGACTGAGGCCTTCTTCCCAGGCAACTCAAGTGGTGAATCAGAGGCCAGAACTTGGAATCAGAAACCTGGGTTTGGACCTTGGCCAGTTAGTTCTGTGATCTGTCCCAGCATCTCTCCTGCTGCAGTGATTTGGTCTCTACCCAGGAATAATGATAATACCTGCTTCCAGGGCACTTGTAGGGTTAAATCAACAGTATGTGAAGAAGCTTAGGAAACACTGAAGGCAGTTCTCAGGGCAGGGATGCCTCCTGGGCCCAGTAATTAATAAACCAACAAACACCCTGAAGTGGAGAGGCCGAGGGGAGCGCAGAGGGCAGATTCTCCCCACGCCCATCCTTGCCGTCAGAGAAGGGGGCCGCCTCCATGGCCAAGCAGGCAGCAGGTGGTCCTCCTGGGACTGAGAAGTCTCAGCCTCCTCCTCCGTCCCCTCTCTGTCTCCTCCTCTGGTCCCCATGGTCTGGCCCTTTCTGTCCTTTCTTGGGGCCAAGCCCAGGTGTGGGATGGGACAAAACCAAGAAGCAGGTGAAATACGTACGTCGTTCAAGCATTCGAATTTGTTCCGTGCCCCTGCCCCACTGACAGCACCTCGGACCCTCCTCCCTCTCTCTCCATCAGAATCTGCTCCCTGGAAAAACAGGACGTGAAAACCGTACACCCGAGGCACTTGCACCTAGCAGGGGGAGGGGACTGGAGATGTACCAGGTTTAGGGCACGGTGCATGGTGGTGAGCTCACATCGTCTCCCTAAATCCTCTGGTCGGTATTCCATCAGATGCCTCCCACAAGATTTTAAAGTGTCGCCCCTGCTGGGAATATTAACATTTTCCAGAATCGAAGCTTGCAGCCCAGGGAATCAGCCAGTGGAGAGGAGGGATGCCCGTTGACATGATTATTTATTCTTAATTTTTGAT